ACACACACACACACACACATATATATATATATATATAAGACTAAATAGCCGATTACGTGGTTCGGTAGCCAATGAAACAAACGACTTCGAAGCAGTGCTGCTGCATCGACAAAGCCTGCATCTGTCAATCACAGACTTCAGAACCAATATAAATATACACTTATTTTCGTAAGAAAACTCGACAAAGCCGACTTCCGCCATTCAATGCACAATGCAGGTGCAGGGACGCAACGCCTGTACGATTCATTGCGACTGTGTATTGCGGTAGCTCGGATATGGATATAGACCACGTTCACGTAGGGGTGTAGTTCCACAGACTCTATATCTGGTCATCTCTTTGTTCAGAGCAAACATAATTTTGGTTACAACTTACTTCCAATGGGCGAAGCAGACACAGAGACGCAAAGTCTGTATGATGCACTACATAGCCGGCTGAGCGAAACGATCACCAGGTTAGAGGGAGTCCAGGCGGCACTCGATGAGAAGACGTGCAATGTGGAAGGTCTGGAGGGGGAAATTTGTCGACTCAACGATATCATTAGAACCTCGGGCATGACTTTGGTATGTGATGTGTCCGTCTGAGGGGGTGGATAATGTTATACATACAGATGTATGTACACATGTGTGATAAAACAATGTATTTCATGAAAGGAAATTAGTCAGGCTCGATGATATTCTCAGGCTCAATGGCATATCTTTTGAAGATCTTTTGAAGTATGTGTCTGAGGGATGTATTAAAGTTCTATAACCATGCTATAACCATGCTATATACACTGTTGAAATCATACCTATTCGTGCTGTATGTTTCTTGTGATAAAATCTTTTTGTTGTAATGGGTGAGAGATCTTTGCCCTGAAAGTATCAGGTCAAACCACTTGGCACGAATTAGCTGGTGCGTCTCAGCTGGTGCATGAAAATATCGAAACCTATTACATGCCCACCAGAGATGCTTCATATGTACACGTTTGGTTTGGTAAATAAGTGCTTGCTTCTTGTTGATCTCATACAATAATGCATAGTATCAGTGTGAAGTTGCGCGTCGTACACCAATAGAACGTTTCCACATATTGTCAATACATATCTGAAGGAGAACATCTGCTAGTGTCAATTTAATGGACGGGAACGTTAGAGAAGGTGGATGACTGAACCAACCAACCTAGTACTAGGTTGGTAGGCCGGCCTAGAAAGCATAGATTAGCTCGTACACAGGATGTCCTCCTCTACATATATACAAATTATTACATTAAGGCTGGACACATCCAACGTAACGTATGTAAATGGTTTCTAGGTGTATGTTGCGTGCATATTCAGTGCGATATGTGTGGGGACTAATTTTATGCCTATTTATGTGCAGGGTGCCGTTGCAGGCGATTCCACAACTAAGAAGATCGGCGTCAGTTCTGTGGTCTACAATTTCATGCTGGTAACTGAGCACTTGCAAATATATATATACAAG